AATCAACAACATTTGTGTATGCTTACATTTGGACAAAGCAATAATGTGTGCGTATATGATTGAAACTTAGAGGATACATGGTGGATACTTGTATAAACATATATGCATGCTGCTGTGGTAAGACGATCGCAAGGCGCCCTCTTCACAAGTGATAGCAACCTGCTGTCCGAGATTCGGCCCACTTTTTAGCCTGTTGCCAGACTAATCGTGCTTGCGCAACCAGACTCCGAGACTGCCAGTCTGGGCAACCCGTTGGCAGGTAGCCCCTTCCAATATACCGCCAGCGGTGCCAGATGAGATGCAGGTCCCTTGCTGGCCGGGCGATCCATCAGGGCACTGCATGCATTGCCACGAGAAACAGCATGGCCGACCCGAAACTGAAGGTAAGCATAAGAGCCTACGGTGCACATTTTGATGCAGTAATAAAGCAAAGAGTGATAGATACACCGAGCATGTACACAAGCTCCTACCAATGCAAGGTGCCGAGTGGAGATGGAGTATAGTATGCATACAACTGGATTCAGGAGTAAATGCCGTACATGTGATGGCATATAATGGATATTTGCACTTGATACGATGAAGTAATTGAATTTATGTCGGTACCAGGATAAAATCGTGTTGTTAGAATATGCATTAGTCCAAAATGTAAAACTCTATGGGCACTTAATCGCAATACTTTCAAAATTTCCAACAGAATTACTTTCCCTGCCGAGCTACTTGGCCCAATCAAGGTCAGCGCACCGACTGGGCGCTAGATCGTGATTTTTCGCTCATAAACAGGTCTTCGAGGTTACCAGTAAATCGTATTTGTGAGATGTATTCTCCCTATTTTATTTAAGGTGATAAATGACTGGTAGTTGAATTTTTACACAATTATACAAGTAGGCCTTACGTTCCCATTGAATTTAACACACCTTTGACTCCCAAAAGGTATTCTCATTCATGGTGGTGGACTCCAATTTTTCCTCACCCAAGTCTCATCTGTACCCCCTGCGGGACTCGAGCCCTGGTAGTTCAGTGTATAATTTCGACACGTTAACCACTTCGTGTGTCGAGCTCTAGTAGTCATGACTTGTGGTCATTTAGTCTCTAATCGAATGTGTTATGTGCAGAAGAAAGGAGACTGCTGTCAAAGGGTACCATTTCACGGACGGTTTACGACGCTTAATTTTTGCGTTTACTTCTCCATGCAATATCCAAGCTTGTCTTCAGTTTCAATTAAATTTGGGTACTGTGACCCAGGGAGTACAGTATTTATCTCACAATCTGAACGCCCATGGTTTGAATATCTACAGGTTTGCTAAGAAAACGATGAAGCGAAAGAGAAATTGCCGTTCACCATATATGAAATAGCCTTTTAGGATGCATAGCAAAGTGAAATTCCTTGCAAAAAGCAAGACTCTTTTCATAGGAAGAAGGGCTATTAGTCTAGTACAAAAGCAGGTCTAAATTTGTGCACCTCGACTTAAGGGAAGCTTCACATTGGCATTAAAAAACTGCCCATAGCTGACAATAGGATAAGGAAACACTTTAGTTCCAACTTGCCTTCCTGCTTTTCATTTTCTAAGTTTAACTGGCTAGCTAACCCTTTTATTGACACGGAAATTTGGGCTCATAGTTACCAATTTAGTACAGAAACATGTACTGATTGTCGCTTATTGCATGCTATGATTTATAGTATTATCTTGCTGACGTCCGTGGCTAAGTTAGGATCAAAGCATTCCGAGTAGCAGCATATTGGGGCAACTATAATAATTTGGGCTCAGTTTGTCAACACTACTACTACTGCTCACATCCATTGTATGCATGTAAATTGGCCTTTTACAAATACAAATTATTATGCGCCTTGCGGTTAAAGCATGGATATTTTTAAATTGAACGTATGTATTAAAGTGCAGTATATATAAATACGTATATAAACATATTTAAAAGAAAATCTAATACGTAAATTTAGTGGGATAAACAAAACAATATGTCAAAACCAAAAACTATGTGTAGGTCATGCTACCAAATTAGGCTTCCAATTATCAATTCGCTTTCGTCTTTGCACCGCACATACGTTGTGCATCATATAAATAAATGCATAGTAGCATTAAATATTTATATTTATGCATAAGTGTGGACGCACTCTAGCTGGTAGAGGATGCGAGGAAATTCATTATCAAATTCAAGTTTCAGGTCACTAGCTGTAGAAGCAATAACTTGTAGAAACTATACTAATTTGCTTTTGCTCTGTATGGCCTGGAAGTGGAAATAGCTACGGTACAGTGAAGAGAGGATCTAATTTTACAACTAGATCTTGTCGTTATGGCGCTTAGAATAGGGATAATGCTGGCTGGAAGATAAAGGCCCTATTCCATGGGTACAAAAGGAAATAGCACCATTTACTAACGAAGCACTTATGACCTTCTTGCTAAATTAGGTGCTCATTAAATCATATATGTGCTGGGAATATTACACTGCCATATATATAAAGTTAGAGGAAGGAAGTGGGAACATTACTAAATCAATTATAGCCAGTAGCAAAAGGTATCTTAATTTATGTCACAAAATAAGTATATCTACAATTATTATAGAGGTAATATTAGATAATACTTACAGCGATTTTCCATATTGAGAAATTTTTTTACCTTGTGTGTACTATATGAAAATATATTTACGACAATAAACAATAATATTAAAAATAAATGAGTTAAAAGCAACATTTTGTAAATCCACCTATTTTCCACGAAGGTATGATTCACTGGCAAACTCTAGCATCGATCGGAGACAGAGAAATAGTTACCACTTAGAATCTATGAATATATCTTGGCCAATGCTAAACAGATGCTACTATGGTAATGCAATTTTCCCGGCAAATATCTGTTTTAACCAGCGCCTACCTTATCTTGGAAGCTTATCTCCCCTTTTAATCTGGATTGCAGAATAAAGTCCTAACCTCCGAGCCCAGAATTTACTTGTTTTTAGAAGATGAGGACGAGACTGAAGTCCACTCCGAATAAAAAATCTCCCATGGCCAGTATAACACAAAGAATTGCAGTTGAGAAATCAGATCTACACTTCATTGTGTCATGGCTAATTACACTCTTATTCCCAGACACAGCAGGAGAAGTTATGGACAAGATTTTTTTCTCTATAAATAGTGCCCTAAATCTTGATCTTGCCTAATGTATTCCCCGACAACCTCTATCAGCTATAAAACAACGATTTATGTATAGCCATAAAGGCTAAGTGCTAATATGCATATCTTTGTACGATGCACGATGTGTGTGTAGTATAATGGAAGAAGTGAACAGATAAATACAATCCTAACTATATAAAACAGGTTATTTTCTCTTATTCGTGGTCTTCAAATTATTATTATGGCTAGTTTTTTTATTACTTTACCCACGAATTGGAATTTTAAGAACTAATTCTGCCTGGCTTCTATGCTTACTCATGCCCAATAAAAGTTGGTAGATTATAAGCAACTTGATCGCTTATAATTCAGAATAAAGCAGCTAATAAAAGCGCACACGTGTTTACTTCAGGATTAGTCTTGGGAATTATCAGTGGACTTTGAATCGGAGCGCGGGTCACTTCAGCGTCCTTATGGTGGTGTGGGAGTGAAAGCTGAATTTCCCAGAATGAAATGAGGGTCAGGCTCACGATGCCGTCTGGAGTGCTAATGAGACCGAGGCGAGGCTGAAACTGCCGTTGAGTCTGAATGAGAAAGCTTTGAGAAATTGAATGACACCCTTTGGACCTTTTAACTTCTTTAATTATCAGTCCTTTAATCGCCTTAATTTTTCTCACTGTTTTCATTATGACGTCAATAGTTTAGCTACCATTACTTATCCAGACATTTCTGATTCAAATTTTGCATTCAAATCCGGGAATAAATAGCGTAAATGTAAAAAGAAGAACCTTACTAACATATTTGCACAAATAATGCATCAGGTAGAAAACACTTGCTTCATTCTTTTATATAAGTTGAATAAGAACCAGGTTACTATAGGTCACTTAAGTTGGTATTGTGACTAATGGTTAGATTTCGCATAAGGAAATGAGTAGACCAACCGACCTATCATCCAACCGATTGACAGCATCAGAATACTATCCAGGCTGGCCAACCACGTTCCGTCTAGCCCCGCCTCATTACATGTAGCCTTACTTTCACACCCCTCAGCCCAGTTGAATTCATCTGCTGTAATTGTAATGACAACCTCATCGTTAAAAATAGGGCTTTAACACATTCCATAATGCTGTCAATATATCACTAGCTTCTATAGGTTTTTGATATCGCAAAAGCCCAAAAGGTTAGCACTTTTTTGAATATATGAAGACCAAGATGTTATGGCCTCTGTAATGGTCGCAGTCTCCTTTTGATTTAAAGAAGTGGGTTGACCTCTTCGCAACTTGGTCTTGTTGTCAGGGCGACTATGTAGAACGTACATAGTCCGAAGTCGTCTGCCATAGCAGTTGTCATGAGCCCCAGTATCTGACAGTGGACTTGATACATTCTCAAACGTCTTGTCTCTTTGACCAGTTCATAATACAGACAATAGCGACTCTCAAGACAAGCCAGGCCTCATCTAAATCAACTTTATATTGCGATTATCGATGAGGTAAACTTACTCGGCGATATTAATCATATTCATATTAAGTGGGTTTTGGCACTATCAGTAGATCTTAAGAATCACGTGTTTCCACTACCATAAGAGACCCAGAGCAGCCAAAGTTTTTATTTAACATTTATTGACAGTCTCGAAACTTACTCGGCCCTAATAATTGTAACACTTGATGTTGAAATACCTTTCATTTAGTGTGGAGAGGCGATTTTTAAGGATTCTTAAGTTGGTCTTATCGTAAGATGTAGGGGGATTATTTGGAGCTGTGCCTGTGGATTTGTGCGAATAAGTCGTCAACACACCGCCCCGAAACCCTGATGAATCCTTGCTAAGATTTTGTCCGTTGTGCGACGGGCATCATCAGACCGGGGTTTATGCTAATTCCCAAAAACACTGGGACAAAGCATGTGACTGCTCTGATGATTTATGTGACATGATAGACGAAAGCTCAGCAAGGATTTATCGGGATCGTGGGACGATGATCTGAGGACCTATTCGCACAGATCTACAGTCACAGCTCCAAGGCAATCCCCTTACATCTTCCGGTGAGACCAACTTATGAATCCTTTCCACTCACCTCTTCAAATGAAATGAAAGGTACAATAATATTAAACTTTTGAGGGATCCTTCGATACCCAATTTTTCTACATACCATTTATAAAACTCGTTGGCGTACCTTCCATCTCGTTTTGGGCCAGTGAAAGGGATCCCGAACACGGCCTCATCAGGAGTTGTCACACCTTTCAAAACTCCACAACAATCCTTCTCTAGCTTCCGTTGGGGTCACTTTACGAATTTCT